CAGAACACATTAATTTGACTGAAGGATATGTGTAGAAATAATCTTCATATATATATATATATATATATATATATGGCAGGGAACCATATCAAAGATGAGAATTGCTGATAATATTCTCATTGTACTCCACTATTATATATTCTTTTGGTGGGAAAAATCCTTTTCTTCACTTGCAATAAGTTAATTACAGCACTGCTCTCCTTGCCTGACCTCCGTAATGGACCACACTTCAAAGCCCTCCAACACTTACTTTTGTTGATTCAGGTGTTCTTTACTGGTATCTCATTGGAAATTAAGCTCTAATCACTAGCGTTGTTAATGCAGTTAACAAAAGCATTTAAAGCCAACTTAAATTCCAAATGGATAAGCCCTCATGGGAGGGAATCGGGCAAAATGTCTGAATGAGTTGTGACTGCTCACATTGGCCAGCACTGTGTCTCAGTTACAAATGGGCTAACTGTGGTTGCCATTTTAAACATTTATATATCTCTAGTGCTTCTGTTATGGCCCTAAAGGGAGAAATAAACCCCTTTTAACTGATAATATACTTCAAATATATTAAAGAGGCTAGACTGATTTGCCATTGTTGAGTACAGTGTGTCCTTTGGAAGGAAAGTGGTAAATTACACCACTACAAAAAAAAACACCATTATTTTACTATTATCATGCTGAATTCATGTCTCTGTTCTTATAAAACAAAATAATTATTAATTCTATTGTTAATCTCTGGCTAAAAGGATAGCCTTGATTTATTTTACGGGTTTGTTATGTGATTGTCTTTCTTACTGTAGTTAAAAACATATCATTTAATTGTTGAGACACCAATCGTTCGCTTGGACTAAGGATCCAATGGTCCAAAAAACAATAACAAAATTAAATCTTTTAAAACATTAGGCACTTTAATTAGATCAGATGTCTGTCTTTGATATTAATGGGCAGCGCAGGAAAATGAGTAACAAATCCCAGCTGTCCACCTCCTGCCCGCCAACACACACATATGCACACACACTGTCATACGGATACAAGCATACAAAACAGATATATGATGCACTTACAAATATTTAGCCATTACAGTGCATTACATTGTTGAGACATTATTAAAGGAGCCACTTTATAAATGTACCTCATTTTAAAATGCAAACATTATTGAAATGTGAAGTGGTTATTTATTTTTTATTTTTGAGGAGTTATTTATTTGTCTATTTATTTATTCAGATTTTCAAGAAAAGTGGTTAGAAGACCCCATAGTCCTGGCTTGTTGAAGATGAACTGTATCAACTCCCTCTGCACTGAAAATCCACTGAGATGTGTTTTTGAGGTATATCTAGAACATAAGGAGGGGAAATACAGAAAAAAATGCCGTCAGATGCTCACTCCGAATAATCCAGTCTTAAAGCCAAGCCAGCCATGACTAACTAGGAAATGACGTTATAGTTCACACAGTGCACACCTGCTTCCCTCACTGTATCTTTTCAAATATCTATTCTGTGGAATTATTTGCTCTGTTGTGGAAGTTAGTTGTGTCTCCCAAATGATACAACTGGTTTTGTCACTGGTTGAAAATGTGGTAAGTATCTGCAATGGATTTATAGTGTCTATTTTTGATTTTCTACCTCTGCTGATAAGGGAGGAAGGGTTGCCTTTGGACTTCCTTATTTTTTGTCCAGCACATCAGGTTGGATTTTCCCATTGTGTTTCTGGTCATTTAGAATTGGGTTGGGGTAGGGCAGCCTCAAATGAAGGATAATCTCTTAGAGGTCCTTTGCAGTGGGGGGTGAGGCCCGGGAGCGACCATTCCCTTTTTTTTTTTTTTTACACAGTTGCAGCTGTATCTCAAAGCACTTTGATACAAAAAAGCTGAATGTTTTGCAGGCAGATCCTTGGGCTGGGTGCGGAATTCTTACCTCCCACTGTTAGGGCCCTTTTTAACCCCGAAGGGGCCCCTGCCATAACTGCCAGTTACCCCAAGTCGGGGCTGTTTGCAAATTGAGCCTGACAAAAACGGTGAGGCGAAAACTAGTACGTTTAGGAAATTAAACAGCGGCATGTCTAACTTTTTGACCACTGTGGTGTGAGGTGTTGTGTGTGGTTGCTGAGTTGTTTTGTGGTCACAAATCTACTCATTTGCAAGTCACATTACTCTATATGCGCCTGCAGTGCTGAAAGCCATTCAGGGCTATTATTCACTGTACAAAACAGTAAAGATACTCTGATATATAAAAATGTGGCAGGCGAGCTCTGATATGTTCTTCATTGATGTGTTTGAACTCTCAGCAGAAAGTGGGAATTCATGTATATATTTTTTGGAAAATAAGTAAATAAAAGTGTGTGTCCAATGGCACTTCATGATTCTGAATAGAACGAGATGACTATATAAGTCATTCTCTATCAGTTTAGATCATTTACATGAGAAGGAACAGGACATAGTAGTGTTTAGAAGAGAATTGGCACATTAAAATGTAATATGCAGTTTATTCACAAACATAATCAGAAACATGACTAATATTAATTCATTAATCATTTCTGGGTCTGAAGAATGGCAAAACAAAGCCCTGAGGGAGAGAAATGGAAGTTTTTACTTAAAGTTGTCTTTGGTCTTTATAATGATAATGGGAACCACTACGACTTTCCCTAACTGCATGTTTTCATATGATTGGAGCATAGCCCAGTGACTGAAGTACAGTAACTACACAATTCATATTAAAAAAATAAAATTAAATAAATAACATTAGTAATTTAAGTGGACTTGCAGCATATGAATTCATTAAAACTCAGACTAAGAAAGAGCGACAAAAACAAATGACTCTCTTAGATTTTATTAGTATGTGAACTCTCAAGGAAAAAGCTCCAGAAAGGTGCAAACTTCCACACAGGGAAAATTGAGGCACAGCACAGAAATATTAATGTAAAATATATATTATATAATATATAATATAAAAGATATATATATATATATATATCATCCAAGTGGATGCTGCACACTGGTGGTGGTTGAGGAGAGATCCCCCCCCCACATGATTGTAAAGCGCTTTGGGTGTACAACATTACACAATAAAGTGCTATATAAATGCATCATTCATTCATTCATTCATTCATTAACAAGCAGAAATAGATTTTATTTAGATTAAGCAGTTGTCTCCCTCCAGCCATTTCACAACTAAACACCATTGTAAGGAAATTCTGTATATTAGTTTCAGTGTTCATTAGGAACAGACTGCATCTTAAGTTTTTTTTTAAATAAACAAATACATTACAGATACCTGACTAACTTACTGATACATTTTAACAGAGCAGTCTGAGCTACTTATTTACACTGTTAAAGAGGTAGATTATCATGCTAAACACTCCTATAATATATATATATATATATATATATATATATATACATATATAGTTTTTTTTATATATATTTATATACACACACACACACAAGTTCCAAACATTTGGCCTTTTAAATATTTTTTTATTATCATTATTTTATTTAGTATTTTAATCCATTGTACATGCATAAAATTGTATATATGTTAAGGGTGTCACTGTGTAATTCAACATTTGCAACATACAGGTTGAAACATGATCAGCAATAATATTAATTTATTTTAAAATAAAACAGTTTTACTTCAATAATTGTTCAGTTGGTGAAAATCAGATCCACCTGACTATGTGCTTTTCATTCCCTCAGCTTCTTTTTGTCATTTCTGTTAAATTCTCCTTAAGAGAGTGTTCTGGAATTGCTCATTGGTCAATCCATGTTTTTTTCAGTGTTTACATATCTCTCACTTGTCTTTTCCTACATGTGCAGTGTTTCAGCCCTGCGTCACATGTCAGGCAGATGTGCTGTCTCTTGCATTACAGTACAGAAGTAGGTGTAGCAGCTAGATGTCAATGGCACTGGGGGAGAAAGTGAGAGTAGATGCATGCATGCAAGGGCTGGGTTGGACCTGGGTGAAGTTTTCTTTTCTAATGGTTGGGTAAGGGGCTGGGTTTGTGATGTCAGGCTGGAGGAAACAGATAAAACGTTTAGCGCGTTAGTTTGATCTGATGTCGAGAGCGCTTGCAGCGGGACTGAGCCTGGGAATATAGACACACACGGAGCGCAAGAGGACTCTCCGCACCATCTCAAGGTGATCCAAAGAGCCGTTTTCACTTGGACCAGCATGCCGAAAAGACAAATCTCCTTTCAGTGCCTCCACATTTTTGGATATTGATCCATATTTTGAGAAAATAAACTCTTTTAAGCGGACTTTCACAGCTCCCTGATATCTGAAACACTCCACTGTTAGAATAAATCTCGACAGATTTTTTTATTTGACCGTTTTGGTGGTTTATTCGCAGAACGAAGCGTGACCGCGAGCATTTGGACGCGACCCATTGCGCGCCGGTGAAAGGTGGCAATCTCAAATAACCTTTATCCAGCGTTACATCTCTCCAAACAACCTTACACTGTACAGACAGCAAGCTATGTAAGTCTGCAACCAAACGCGGCATTATCGCTTTCATTCGACCACAATGAGGATACATTATTGCGCGCGTAAATGAACTACAAGTGAATGACAATTAGACTTTTACGCAGTCATTGCGCGCTAAAGAGGCAGCTTTGAGGAGATCCCTGAGACGCGAGCTGTTCTCTTCGAACCTGAACACCCAGAAAGCAACGAGGAACGATTTAAAGTAGAAAGTTTGCTGTCATTCACTCATTAATTCCGACATCCAGTTACATAAATGGTAAATTAAGTGAAAAACAGACTCTCCACCTTAATGCACTGACAATTTCGACTTCCCTTGTCATTACATTTTAATTTTTAAAAGACAATTAAGTAAAATAGAAACTCATTAACATTAACTCATTAACCTATTGTAAATTAAACACAATTTATGCTATCATTAATGAAGAAAAGGCACCCAAATCAATTTAAACAAATTAACTATTAGCTCCCTTCCCAAGTGCAATTCAAAACAAAACAAACAAACAAACAGATGTCCACGCGTTGAAAGACAGCTTCACCTCAATAAAATGATGTTTTTTAGACTATTGGCTATTATTCTTGCAGTATTTCACACATGGCCGCTAAACAGGGCTCAGCCAGATCATATCCAGAAGTATAAGCGGATACTGGCACAGAGAGCGGATCGAGCGCTTGCTGGAGAACAGTGCGGCTCAATCAGCGGCAAGCGGCCGCCGCGCTCCGCGGCGCAGCAGTACCCTCTAGCGGGCGTCGCTGGGCGGTACACTCGCTTGATAGACTTGCACTTAAGGAAAAGTAAAACGGTGAGGTCGTGTTCAGGTGAGTGCGGCTCTAGTGGCATAGATGCGGTTGAGTTAACTAACTGGGATATTAATGAGAGGGAGATATTTGATGAACCCCAAGAAGAGACTTTCATATGGAAGAAAGAAGGCAAACAGTTACAGAGGGCCACTGATTCTGGCTCTAGAAAGTCCATATCAAAAGGACACCCTTTACAGACAGAACGGGGAGGTGAATTGACAGACAGCTTGTCCTCGCTAAGAAGGGTTGCAAGGAGGCTTCTGGAGTTCAACAAAGAAGAAGTCCCAAACGATACACACCACACTGACTTCTCTACAGAAAATGAAGAGTATTCCGGGGAGCAAGAGGGACTGCAGAGCACTGCTGGGGAGCTGTGGAGGGAAGATGTACGCAATGTGCCCGCAAAGTGGATGACAGCCATGTATTTTGGCGGCCAGGCGGAGCAACTAAAGGTGAACCCTGTCTTTGGCATAGACCTGCCCCGCTCCAGGTTCACTTTAGAGCTGTGGGTCAAGCCGGAGGGTGGCCAGAATAATCCTGCCATCATTGCAGGTGGGTGACTGTGCATTCATACATCATTCTCATTGTCCAAAATCATGTTTTCCGTGTTGGAAGCAGGGATGCAGCTTTTTCTTAGGTTCTTAAAACTGGTTTTCTAGGAATTGGAATTGTCATTGGCTATTACTTAAAGCAGCAGTTATAACTTGAAGGATACATAATTTACAATTAGCAACTGTCTAATCAGAATAAATAGTGCTGAAAGGCATACAGCCATACAGACCAAAATGATTATAGAAAGTCAGATTCATTCCTCGAACTAGCCTCAGTTCATCAAGTGCATCAAATGGTGGCGGACTCTGTGTTGTGTCATGGCTTTGACACGTTGTTGTTTTATTTAAGAGGCCTTTGTTTGAGGATTTCAGCTGACAAGCAGGTGAAAGGAGAATGGGGAAATCAGCTGCTTACGAGGTGCAAACAATGAGTAGTGCTAAGGGAGGAGTGTTAGAGGAACAAGTGGCCACCACCTGCTCAATGTATCCTGTCTGCTTTATTTAATCACTTGTTTAGTGCATATGGTACTTTGCGTTTCCAAGGTTTGATTCATAAGCTGCATGTTCTGGACACCGTACTCACACTGACAGCTAGCTGCCATCCAGCACAATTGTTTGATATATTTAAAAGATTTTCAAAGCAGAAACTAGGTGGTTTTTCGCATGCAAAGCTGATGTGTGAAATGTTGTCTGTTAATGCTTTCCAATTGTTTTGTGTGTGTGTATGTGTATATATATATATATATATATATATATATATATATAATGTATGTGTGTGTGTGTATAGGAGCTTATTTTTCCTCCAGCATATTAGTTAGAGTTATCTTGTTGTATGGTTTTGACAGGCATCTGAGTTGACTTTTTCGAAGCACACATTATGATTACAAAAACAAACAAAATAAGCTGTGGAACATCACAGAAGGTGCCAGATCCCCCAAGGGAGCTTTCATAATCAGGTAAATGTGCATTTTTGTATGGCTGCTGAGGAGGGTCAATGTGGAAATGATTATATTTGGAAGTGCTTCTGAGACTAGTTCCCAGTAAGGAGAACAAAGCCCAGAGTTCTCTGGTTGTAACCTGCGTGAGGCTTTTCCTCTACCATGGATGCCAAAATACATGCTTTTAGACGAAAGGGGGTGCAAATATTATTCATCTGTTTCTAACACTGATGAGTCATCTATGAGACCTCAAAGAGAGCATTAGATATTCCATTTTAAAATTATCCACCACTTGGAGAAAATCAGTATTCCCCAATGACGTCAAATCTCACAAACATCTTAAATAAATGAGGGTTTCTACCATCTTGCTATTGTTAAGATTGTATTATTTCCCTTTGACATATTCGTCATCATCACTAAAATCATGTGAACATTCACTCCAGCTCTTTCTGAGGTCAATGGATTTCTTTTATCAATCAGTGGACGAATCTATTGTTATAAAGCCAGTTTTTTTAAAATTCCTCACGCTGCCAAATGAGCGTTCAAAGGCTTTACTGGAAGTGGTCTTTTCAGCGCTAACTATTAAGTGATGTTCGAAAACACTCACTTTTTCTCTGTCTCTCATAAACACTTATCATATCGAAGCCATCAGTTATACAAGGTTACAAAGAAAGTATGTATTTAGCACACTTTGTCTCCAGCCAAACTCAGCACTCCAGGCCAGTCTGAGGTACTACTATTATGAGTCTTTTATTCAGTGGGAGACAGACACTATAAAAACAGTAAGATAAGAACTCAGGCTTTGAAAATGTAGTAGCATCCAAGTGGATAGTACTCTGGAATGGTTTATCTTCAAATTCATGACTTCAGGGTTGATACGCGCAGAAATTAGCTGATGTTGTCACACGCTGGAGCCCTGCACACACATCGGCAGGCTTTTTCAATGAATGAAATTTCAGTGTGGTCCACGTCCCTCAGGATATTTTGTTTAAAGCTGCCCATCTCTCGTTCTCCTGTTTGCAGGGAATAATGCACCCGAGTGTGTATGTGCTCGCGTGTGCGTGTGTTGTTGGGAGGGTGAAGGGGTTCCCTGACCTCTCTCTGTCCTTCGACGGTAACATCTGGCTGCCAGATGTGACTGCTCCTAAGAAAGGCGGCTGGGAATATCAGTGGATTTGTTGAATGGAAATGACTTAAACTCTTAAACTCTTCAGATAATTAAACACCAATTACTCTGTGCTTGATGAAGCTCATTGACTCCTTCGTTTGTGTTTTTTTTCTAGGCGTGTTTGACAACTGCTCGTATCCCTTGAGCGAAAAAGGTTGGTCTGTTGGGATTCGAGCAGCAGACCCTACAGGAAGAAAAGATGGCAGGTTTTTCTTCTCACTTCGCACGGATCGGGCGCTCAAATCCACCACTATCATCGCGCACAAGCGCTACCAGCCCAACAGCTGGACTCATGTGGTGGCCAGTTATGACGGCCACAAGATGGCGCTGTACGTAGACAATTCCAAGGTTGGCGAGAGCAGAGAACAATCAGGTGACCTATACAGTCCCTACATCAAAGCCTGTCGCATGTTTCTGCTTGGTGGGGACCAGTCGGATCACGAACACAGTTTCCGCGGGCATTTGGGAGGTGTCACGTTATGGGGTTATGCGCGAACGCACGAAGAACTTCTTAAAGGTCACCAATCCCATGCAGAAAAACAAACTCTGCTATTGTCCCAGTGGGCAGATTTCTCCAAGGTTGAGAATCAGTGGGCGCCCTACAAAGACCGTCACAACCCAGTCATTGTGGCTCTTCCTGTCCCCGAGCGGCAACTTGTTTCTCCATTTCTTCCGCCTCCATGTGGTGTGACCGTGTGTGACAATGCCGACTTCGCCCTCAGTTACAACCAGCACTGGCAACTGCGAGCCAAGAAGCGCTTACACTACCGCATCGTGAACATCTGTAAGGATGACGGCAGTGACCCTACGGTCTCTCTCCAGCAGATCCAGCTCCAACACCAGGCCTTGGAAGATGCCTTCCGTCCTTACAACATCACCATTGAGCTCAGCATTCACACCATCTACAACTCTTCCCTCCAACGGCGCTTCATCCTCAGCAACTGCCACATTGCCAAGGTGGGGAACCGCCACTGCGATCCCGAATGCGACCATCCTCTTACGGGCCACGATGGGGGCGACTGCTTGCGCATGGGGCCCTGCTACAACTGGAAGCGGAGGGATGGAGTCTGCAACCCCGAGTGCAACAGCATTCACTATGATTATGATGATGGTGATTGCTGTGACCCCGAGGTCACAGATGTCGCAAAGACCTGCTTTGATCCAGAGTCTTCTCAGAGGTGAGCTTGTGCTTCAATATGGTTCCACTTTGGCAACTAACTTGAACCCAGGCATAATTTTAGTGGGATGTGCAAGAGGGTTCATGTTTTGGTCTTAATTCAAGAATTACAAAATCTTTCTAGCAAAAAACCCCCCAGGATGATATCTGACCGCCTGCTTGCTTCTATAGAAATTGATGCAGGTACCATAGTTAGATACCATGTCATTACATCAACTATGTACATTTATGTCCTTGGCAGATGTGTTCCTACAAAAACTGCTTGCATTAAAGCGCTAGGCCGACAAAATGATTGAAAGCATTCCCTATCCCTCGCTTAAGATCACTGTGAACTGGTTTTTGAGTTCAAGAAATTGACGTTATGTGCTTGTTAAATTTTCTCACAGCAGCATCAAGAAAAAGGAAACCAAAGTGTCTTATTGTGAAATAGTGTTCACTTTTTTCATTTTTATTTTCAAGATTATCAGAGCATTCTGTATTACTCAACATGCAAAGCATACAAATCGGCCTTCTGGAATAACTTTACAAAAGCATGCAAAACTTGGATGCAGAACTGAGCCAAAGTATACACTTAATGTGGCTAAACAACAAAACCAGAGGTCTCGGCACTATTCATTGTGAAAGGCAGGACAGTTTTGCTCCCGTACAAATTGTTTGATGGCTTACCGCAGTGTCTTTTATTTTTTATGCTGCTATGTATGCTACGTAAGTAGATGTTCACAAAACCGTAAAATCCTGAAAATGTGATTACACCAAATATTTGTATCAACAGGATTAATTTGCTGTATGTCAAATTTCCAGATACAGTCTAGGAAGTGTTGTTCCAGGCTCAGTGTGCAACGAGACCTTGTGTCTCAGCCACCAGCTGTTGACATTTTATGGTTGCTTGAAAACAAGCTTTCTTCAAGAACCGCCTATCTGTTCCTGAAGGGCTCCTATAGAGATTAATAGGGCCCCAATGATACCATTGGATGGTGGTCTAAGAAACACTCTTTTGGTTGTTTTGCACTGAGACCCTTTTTAAGAGGACAACAGTAAGTTCATAGCCAAAATCCACAGGCAGAATATTTCTTTCTGTCCATGGCTGGTGGATAATAAATCAGTTGCGTGCCATCTCAATGCTGTTTGCACCAAGGGGTTAAGGTTTGACTGATTAGCATGGCCCTGTCGCCCCTGGTGGAAGATGTCGTAATTACACACTCTGCAGATCATTCGCCTTAATTTACAATAAATTACATTAGAAAATTCATTAAAATATAAAACAGTTCTTTAAAATTGTAATATTTATTCACAATATTAAAATTTTTACTGTATTGTTGATCAGATAAATGCAGTCTTGGTGAATGAGATTTGTCTCAAAAGCATTAAAATCATACCAACCCCAAACTTTTGAGCTGCAGTTTATATATCATCAGCATTTCTTTGTTTGAAAGGCTCTTATAAGTGTGAAATGGACAATTCTCATTTTCAAAGATCAGGATAGTCACTAAAGAGCTTGGGGCTTGTTCCAATCAGCTTTAGCATGATGTAAGTTTCCTGCGTTCCTGTGCCAGCCGAGCAACTGCCATTGAGATGAATGGGAATACTAAAAGATATAGCCTTCAGGGAATTTCAGACCTCCTTATTTCTACTAAGGCCAACAGTTTGTAGTAGTGGTGACCTGGAGTAGCATACTGTCCTTGGCATGCTATACTCAAAAAACAATCCAAAGGTACTGAATAACCCAAAGGTTCATTTACTGGACTTGTTTTCCTTTAAATATGATGTGTCAATAAGTATAAATGCTAATAGCCAACGGGACCAGACTAACCTTGGGCTCATAGACTAAGCCCTTAGAGAGGTCTTTCCTTACCATGCTGGAAGAGTGTATCACTAAGGCTGAGGTCCAGAGTTTGCAGAGGATTAATGCAGGGATGACATTTTGATGGCAATTGTATAGCGTGCCTTTTATGTGGAGGTCTGGGATTTTAATGTTTTGCTCTGTGAGCTATAGCCCAGGTATCTGCTGCTGGGCAGAGAAGCTCGAGTACTTGCCAATGGCTGTCACTACGCAAATTTGTTGTTGAAGTAGAGAGAAACAGCACAAGGGAACCACCAGGTGCTTTTTGGCAAGCTCCAGAAATGGAACGAGATGAAAGCAAAGACATTTTAGTCCAGACATTTAAGCCAATAGAACTGAACTACCTGATAACTCTTCTCTTTAGTAATTAACTTTGATAGATGCTTAGCAATTTCAGTGATTTATGATGTATTTATTTATTTATTCATTTCGCTGCGAGATAGTGGATCGGTGGTTTTGAATATGACTGTTTTAATAAATAGTTTTCTTTTTTGTGTGTTATTCAAAAGGATTGTGTCCACCTGAAAGGTGAAGTGTGTCGTTTTTTTTTCCCCCCAAAAAATACTTAGGTTAATGCACAGGTAAAACCATTTATTGGATGACTTCATGGAAGTATGAATACCCAGAAAATGTGACCCTGGACCTCAAAACCAGTCTTAAGTCGCTGGGGTATATTTGTAGCAATAGCCAAAAATACATTGTATGGGTCAAAATTTTCGATTTGTCTTTTATGCCAAAAATCATTAGGATATTAAGTAAAGATCATGTTCCGTGAAGATATTTTGTAAATTCCCTACCATAAATTAAAAACTTAATTTTTGATTAGTAATATGCATTGCTAAGAACTTCATTTGGACAGCTTTAAAGGCAATTTTCTCAATATTTAGATTTTTTTTTCACCCTCAGATTCCAGATATTCAAATAGTTGTATCTCGGCCAAATATTGTCCTATGGAAATTGTATTTATTCAGCTTTCAGATGATGTATAGATCTCAATTTCAAAAAATTGACCCTTATGACTGGTTTTGTGGTCCAGTGCTTGTATGCTTGAATGTGCTTGTAAAACATTTTTGTCTAAATAATGGAAGATGGAATCTATCTATCTATCTATCTATCTATCTATCTATCTATCTATCTATCTATCTATCTATCTATTGTTTGTTGATGATGATATTTTTTGACAAATCTTTTTGACAACGTTGTGACCTTGTAATGTCTGGAATCAATGAGTGCAAGTCAAGAGGGCAAATATTCAGATGTTACATTTTTGTGGCAGAACCCACTTCCGTCTCAGGATTTAACCATGTGCCAGTCAATCCCTGGTGCCAACCAACCCGAGTTTCCGTGATTGCTCTGATTAGAGGACTGTGCTGACAGTTGAACATTTTCATTTGCTCTTGTTTTGTCATGTTGTATTTGTTCCCTGAATAAGCATTTTTGTGGCATCAGTTGGTTTGTGGTTAGTATTCGATTTCCTTGTTGGTAGCTTCGGAAAACAATGGACAACATGTAATTTTTATTTTTGCTTATTTATTAGCCTATTATTATTACTATTATTGTTTTTTTTTCATAATTTATTTGATTAATCTGTATGTATAAAAATATGTTCTTCCTCAAACATATTCAAAGATTGGACTGGTAAATACTGTCTGCACTCTCTGCGACAATTATTATAGTTGGGCTTGGAGAGAGTATTTATTTTTGTGTTGTATACTGTTCACTGAAGCCACTAGAAATGTTAATTGTTTTGGTCTCTTACTTTGTAAAATGCGATTTGTTGCTTAAAAGTACAAAAGTTTGTAACCTAGTTGCATTAACTTGATTTAACATTTTTGGTAATGTTTAAACCAGTAAACCAGTTCACCCAAAAATGAACGAATATCTTTCAAAAATGAATGAATTCTATCATCATTTACTCATCCCCAGGTTTTTCTAAACCTGTATGAATTTCATCTGTTGAACATAAAAGAAGATATTTTAAAGAATTTTGGTAACTGGTCCCCAGTGACTTCCATTGCATAGAAAAAACACGGTATACTACCGTAAAATTAATGTCCAATACATATAATGTTCAATACAGTTTTTCACCGTATATAGTAGAGGAAATTACCGTTAACCATTTAACAGGTTTTTACTGTAGCATTTTTACAGTCTTTTACCATTAAATTCACAGGCATTTTTAACAGTGTATTACTTATTCATTAGCTACTAGTGTTTATTCTTTAAGTACTAGTGCCTTTTGTAAAGTTACTAGTACTTATTAATTTGATAATAGTTCTTATTTATTAGATACTAGTACTTATTCCAATAGTGACTAGCATTTAATTATACTCTTCTTGATAAGAAAAAATAGAACTAGTACTTATTTTTTAGTTACTAGTAACCTTTTAGACCAAAGATATCCTGAACTTAATAGAAACTAGTATTTTTTAAATTTGCATTTCTGCCCAGTATGGTAATCGTATGTTGAATATTAATGAGCCAGCAACATATAGGAGAGAGATTGAACAGGAAATGAAAACAAGGAGACGGATGCACTTTTTTTTTGAAGGAACCACATAGAAAAAAAAGACAATAATTTGTACACAAGCACATAGAAAACATATTTTTGTCAGTTTTGTAAACACTGTAATTTCGTAAGCATAGTAGCCTAATGTGTTTGTTGGTTGAGTGACCTCTGGTGGCAGGATGGAGATAAGACACACATTTTTATATATATTGTTTTCCTCTTTTTCATCCAGTAGAAACAATAAATATCATATCAGGGCTGTACGTAAATTTTTTTTTTGCATAGTACTGGTGCTACAGACAGAATGTTTTTACATTAATGTTCTGTACAGGGCACACTGGTGCTACAGACACTGAATGTTTTTACATTAATGTTATGTACAGGGCACACAAAATCCAAACCATATGGTTTTCAGACAAACATTTATTTGGAAAAAAGGCCAAAAATTATTAATTAAAAAAACAAAAGAAACAATGGTTTGCTGTACTTGTAAGGCTGCACAATTTGGCCAAAAATGTTGTTTTTACCAATATAACTAATAATGATTATGGTTATTATTTCTAAATAAAACTTTAACTTGTATATTTCACTATAATATACAAAACTGTGTATTTAATAATAAATATAATAATAAATATTACTGCAAGAAAAATCATTTTTCTACACTGGAGAAAAACATAAGGATTTGCAAAAGTTTACCTCAAAGTTCTTAATTATTTTAGCTATTTTTACCCAAATTAGGGTTTTGTAAGCAATAATGAGTACTCAGTTGTAATTTCTTTTTCATTCATACTTGTCGCCAGAGGGCGCCCTTGTGCAGAAACTCCACAAGTGAGGCTCACTGATGACATTCCGGGAAATCCCTTATAGGGACAAAGACATTCAGCATTAGCTGTAGATGTAGCCTAATAGCTGAATAACATGCAGATAGGGCATTTTACTGATAAAGCATTAAGAAAATAAATAAGGATTGCGACATTATATGATTTTATCTTTGTTCTTCAAGCCATCTTGGGTATTTTTATAAGAATAAAGTATATTTAAAATGCAATAAATTGGAAAAATTTTTTAATTTGTTACTAGTATCAATATAATAATTACTAGTCACTATTGAAATAAGTACTATTATCTAATGAATAAATACTAGTATCTAATAAATAAGTACTAGTATCTAATAATAAGTACTAGTATTTAATCAATAAGTACTAGTATTTAATGAATAAGTACTAGTATCTAATAAATAAGCACTAGTATCTAATGAAAACGTACTAGTATCTAATGATTAAGTACTAGTAACTTTACAAAAGACACTAGTGCCTAAATAATAAGCACTAGTATCTAAAAAATAAGTACTAGTAATTAGATACTATTGCGGTTTATAGATTAAATGTTAAAACAGCTTGCCATAGTGCAAAGGCTTAAGCAGCTATGAAAGCAAAAGAGAAAAATGTCATGTGACATATTCCAAAGTAAAAATAAGTTAACATCACACATCAAAGCGCCTCTATGGCGATTTATCACAGCTGGGAGTAGAATAAAAAAGCGGGTAGTCGTTTCATACACCATAAGCAGTTCAAACAATTATAATCCCTAATCATCATGACAAAGTGATTTTTTATGACTGTTGTTATTAAAACTGCTAATAAAATTCAAGATGCGAAAAAAGAAAAAAATTTTTTTTGTAATAATGTATGTAATCATGTAATATCATAGAGTAATTTTTATGTTATTTCTCTTACAAATTCCATTTGCTTACTTCTTATGGCGTGAACTAAACTATTTAAACCCTTGTTGTTTTAAACTGGTAATTCAGTAAAATTTGAAATTGTAATTCCCTTCTAAATCTTGAATAAACTAAATCCATCAAGGAAAAATTTAATAACCTGCATGTTGTTCATTGATGTTTATGGCAGTTCCCTTAATAATAACTTGTTTTCTATGCAAAGTTTCTTGACTGTGTGTCAATATCTCTGATGCAGGGCTTATCTGAGCGTGAAGGAACTGAAGGAACTGCTCCATCTGAGCAGTTCAGACACTCTCAACGTGTTCTTCGCTAATAATTCGGCACGCGAGGAGCTTGCTGGGGTTGCCACCTGGCCATGGGCAAAAGAAGCTCTTACTCATCAAGGTAAGATGGATCACAAGAGCTCATGAACATGATGAAGTGAACAACCCAAGTCCAGTTTTATTAGAAGTGAGGTTATGTGAAAGTGAAGGGAAAAACAAGCCAAACAATGAAGTGAATTTGAAAACTTAATGATGGCTTATGAAATGATTTGACTACACGAGATAAAATTATTGTTTGGCTGGTTAGCATGGCTCAGTTAGCCCCTGCTGGTAGATGCTGTAACTACACATCTGGTTTTGAAAAGCATCTTTTGTCCATTGATGGCCTTTCAAAAGACAGGAAAACTTTTTTCAGGTAACATAAATCTGAAATATTTCATCACCTTAAAGCAGATGTTTTATTGCTTTTAAAAAAAAAATGCTCTTAAAAGCATGAAATGGATTTATGTTTTCCACTACATTTGACGTCACAGCTCAGTTTTTGTCCATTGATGGCCTTTCAAAAGACAGGAAAACTTTTTTCAGGTAACATAAATCTGAAATATTTCATCACCTTAAAGCAGATGTTTTATTGCTTTTTTAAAAAAAATGCTCTTAAAAGCATGAAATGGATTTATGTTTTCCACTACATTTGACGTCACAGCTCAGGATTGTCAATAGTGAACGGGTTGGGGCTGTGTGCATTTTTGGAAGGGATAAAAAACAGGCAAGATAAAATGAGAACAGAACTTTAAAACAAAAGACAACATAATATTTCTAAATAAAAGACCGGGGACTTTACACAAAAACCGTTACGCTAGATCTGCCTCTTGGCCTCTAAACCCAACTGGGTTCATTCTACCATGGACAATGTCAAGTTAAGAACTCAGTTGTTTCCTGTCACTACATTCCCCACAGCACATGTGTTTTTTTGTACCTAATGCCATACATCTTGTTCATGACCGATCGCCTTATATCTTTTCTTTAAAGAAACACATTCTTGTCTCTTCCTCCTTGTTGTGTGTATTTTGCCTTTACAAGATTAATGGGCTGTAATCTCAAGCATAAAAGAAAACACTTGCAGCACGCATAGATTTCCGTAGCCTAATGTGTTTGTTGGTTGAGTGACCTCTGGTGGCAGGATGGAGATAAGACACACATTTTTATATATATTGTTTTCCTCTTTTTCATCCAGTAGAAACAATAAATATCATATCAGGGCTGTACGTAAATTTTTTTTTTGCATAGTACTGGTGCTACAGACAGAATGTTTTTACATTAATGTTCTGTACAGGGCACACTGGTGCTACAGACACTGAATGTTTTTACATTAATGTTATGTACAGGGCACACAAAATCCAAACCATATGGTTTTCAGACAAACATTTATTTGGAAAAAAGGCCAAAAATTATTAATTAAAAAAACAAAAGAAACAATGGTTTGCTGTACTTGTAAGGCTGCACAATTTGGCCAAAAATGTTGTTTTTACCAATATAACTAATAATGATTATGGTTATTATTTCTAAATAAAACTTTAAACAAAATAAGGAATATTACTTTTGTAATAACACTATTTCACTATAATATACAAAACTGTGTATTTAATAATAAATATAATAATAAATATTACTGCAAGAAAAATCATTTTTCTACACTGGAGAAAAACATAAGGATTTGCAAAAGTTTACCTCAAAGTTCTTAATTATTTTAGCTATTTTTACCCAAATTAGGGTTTTGTAAGCAATAATGAGTACTCAGTTGTAATTTCTTTTTCATTCATACTTGTCGCCAGAGGGCGCCCTTGTGCAGAAACTCCACAAGTGAGGCTCACTGATGACATTCCGGGAAATCCCTTATAGGGACAAAGACATTCAGCATTAGCTGTAGATGTAGCCTAATAGCTGAATAACATGCAGATAGGGCATTTTACTGATAAAGCATTAAGAAAATAAATAAGGATTGCGACATTATATGATTTTATCTTTGTTCTTCAAGCCATCTTGGGTATTTTTATAAGAATAAAGTATATTTAAAATGCAATAAATTGGAAAAATTTTTTAATTTGTTACTAGTATCAATATAATAATTACTAGTCACTATTGAAATAAGTACTATTATCTAATGAATAAATACTAGTATCTAATAAATAAGTACTAGTATCTAATAATAAGTACTAGTATTTAATCAATAAGTACTAGTATTTAATGAATAAGTACTAGTATCTAATAAATAAGCACTAGTATCTAATGAAAACGTACTAGTATCTAATGATTAAGTACTAGTAACTTTACAAAAGACACTAGTGCCTAAATAATAAGCACTAGTATCTAAAAAATAAGTACTAGTAATTAGATACTATTGCGGTTTATAGATTAAATGTTAAAACAGCTTGCCATAGTGCAAAGGCTTAAGCAGCTATGAAAGCAAAAGAGAAAAATGTCATGTGACATATTCCAAAGTAAAAATAAGTTAACATCACACATCAAAGCGCCTCTATGGCGATTTATCACAGCTGGGAGTAGAATAAAAAAGCGGGTAGTCGTTTCATACACCATAAGCAGTTCAAACAATTATAATCCCTAATCATCATGACAAAGTGATTTTTTATGACTGTTGTTATTAAAACTGCTAATAAAATTCAAGATGCGAAAAAAGAAAAAAATTTTTTTTGTAATAATGTATGTAATCATGTAATATCATAGAGTAATTTTTATGTTATTTCTCTTACAAATTCCATTTGCTTACTTCTTATGGCGTGAACTAAACTATTTAAACCCTTGTTGTTTTAAACTGGTAATTCAGTAAAATTTGAAATTGTAATTCCCTTCTAAATCTTGAATAAACTAAATCCATCAAGGAAAAATTTAATAACCTGCATGTTGTTCATTGATGTTTATGGCAGTTCCCTTAATAATAACTTGTTTTCTATGCAAAGTTTCTTGACTGTGTGTCAATATCTCTGATGCAGGGCTTATCTGAGCGTGAAGGAACTGAAGGAACTGCTCCATCTGAGCAGTTCAGACACTCTCAACGTGTTCTTCGCTAATAATTCGGCACGCGAGGAGCTTGCTGGGGTTGCCACCTGGCCATGGGCAAAAGAAGCTCTTACTCATCAAGGTAAGATGGATCACAAGAGCTCATGAACATGATGAAGTGAACAACCCAAGTCCAGTTTTATTAGAAGTGAGGTTATGTGAAAGTGAAGGGAAAAACAAGCCAAACAATGAAGTGAATTTGAAAACTTAATGATGGCTTATGAAATGATTTGACTACACGAGATAAAATTATTGTTTGGCTGGTTAGCATGGCTCAGTTAGCCCCTGCTGGTAGATGCTGTAACTACACATCTGGTTTTGAAAAGCATCTTTTGTCCATTGATGGCCTTTCAAAAGACAGGAAAACTTTTTTCAGGTAACATAAATCTGAAATATTTCATCACCTTAAAGCAGATGTTTTATTGCTTTTAAAAAAAAAATGCTCTTAAAAGCATGAAATGGATTTATGTTTTCCACTACATTTGACGTCACAGCTCAGTATTGTCAATAGTGAACGGGTTGGGGCTGTGTGCATTTTTGGAAGGGATAAAAAACAGGCAAGATAAAATGAGAACAGAACTTTAAAACAAAAGACAACATAATATTTCTAAATAAAAGACCGGGGACTTTACACAAAAACCGTTACGCTAGATCTGCCTCTTGGCCTCTAAACCCAACTGGGTTCATTCTACCATGGACAATGTCAAGTTAAGAACTCAGTTGTTTCCTGTCACTACATTCCCCACAGCACATGTGTTTTTTTGTACCTAATGCCATACATCTTGTTCATGACCGATCGCCTTATATCTTTTCTTTAAAGAAACACATTCTTGTCTCTTCCTCCTTGTTGTGTGTATTTTGCCTTTACAAGATTAATGGGCTGTAATCTCAAGCATAAAAGAAAACACTTGCAGCACGCATAGATTTCCCTGTAGATTGACCCTTAATCATTAAGGTCGTCCACCAGGAGAGAAGAAAAGGAACTCGACAACAAAAACAAAAACAAAAGAAGGGTATTACGCTGTTGCCATCTCCATCCAACTGCCAGCTGATTTTATAGTACTCGTCGTTGCTGTGCTTTAGAGCTCATTAAAGCGGTCTCAGTTAAATCCAGCTCCTTTAAAAAGGAGATTTCTCTCAAGCAGGAAGGTTTCTTATGTAAGTTCCTCTCCCATTGGTTCAGGATGCATGATCAGACATTGTGGTCTTGGCTTTTTGGGTTATAGCTTTTGTTAATGAGATCATTTTGGCTTGTGCGTAGAACGTGAACTTTTAAACCGATATTAGCATGAGTAATTAGCACCAACTTGCTTTTGTGAGCTTAAATTTGCTCATGAGTTTTCATGAATTAACATACAGTCTGTTTCTAATGTGTCCATGGTAACACTTTGCATTCATGTTTAATTTGTTAACATTTAGTGCATTTATTAGGTACAAACTATTTTACAGCATTTATTAATCTAGAGTATTTCTAATTTCTTAATATACAGTTGTTCATTTTTATTTTTTTTAATTCAGATTTTAATTTATACAACTTGTAAATGGTAAAAATGCATTAGTATGCATATAAATGAAAATAAACCTAAATAAAAAATGTGCATAAACTACGATGGAATCATATTTACCGAATAAATTCCACCATGCGCATCAAAAAAGTAATGTGACTTTGCACAATGGGACGGGATAACTTGACTAACCAGCAGACCGATCTCGTTGCACAGCATCTGGAATGTTGATTTGGTCGTTCTGAAATCATATATTAAAATTATTATATTAAGTGGCTTCTCCTACTTTTCTTAATGACATTTAGTGCCAGTTTATCAGGACGTGACGATTTCGTTCTCTTTGACTCGTTGGAGACTGTCTAAAGCACTAAACAGTGCTTTATTTGCAAATGTTTTATGCGATATTCCAATTTTGCACATAAGTTAAATTTGAATCTTTGGATGGAAACATAGCTATTATCACAAAATAATATCCTGATGACCCTGCTATGTTTTATTTTGCTCTCAATTGTCCTGTAAATGATCTGAGCGGAGAGGTGGTCAGAGACATGAAAGGTAACATGAAATTCATGAATGACTTACCGTGCTGCTTTGAATCACACAGAGATATGGCCCCTTTCTTATTTTCACAGAGATATGGCTCCATTCTTATTATGCCCATAATCCACCTCTGCTTTTGATTTACCGTCATGTCATAACAGTCTTTGGTGCAAGACGATTTTTGTCCACAAATGTTTCGCTGGACCTGCATGGAGGTTAAAAAGCAAGATTAGTTTCTCATAAATTAGGAGACTTGGTATGGTTTATGGTTTAATTTCATATAAATCACGAGCTTATTTGCGAGAGTACCTTGATGTCTTATACTGAGGAACAAGGTCAAACTACTGCTCTGAATGCTTTAAGTGAAATCAGACCATAGCGTGGACTGCTGATCTTGTGGTATAACTGTAAACGATCTGTGTCTGTCAGATGTGTCTAGCCAAGCTCTGTCCCTTTGGCTGAACTCCCATAAAACATGGATATTTCCTAAATAAAAAGGTTGTTTGCTCAAATCTTGTATATCTGCTGTAAATGACCTGTCTGGGGTGGAGCACAAATCTCCAGAAGTGAAAGATTTTCGCAGATGCCCACATAAACCAACTTCTGTTTTTAATAAGTAAGCAAATTCCGTATTTGCTTTAAAACCTAATAGCTTATATAAACTACAAGTTCAATATAACCAAAATTATGCAAACTAGTCTCACAATGTCATTTCATATTTGTTCTTAAACAACATCTGCATGGATTTTAAACTGTTATAAATGTAAAATTTCTTTTTGCTTTTTATTACATTATTTGGATATAAAACCACATGCCAATTTTCAGCAGGTGTGGGATCTTAAATACATTTTAATGTTCTAAATGTGGGTAGAACATTAGACAACACTTATAACCAGACATACTGTTCTTTTTCGTAATCCTAGCTGCGGTGGTCCCGTTTTACAGGATAGATCACACTGTTTTATGTGGCAATATTTCAGAATAAATCAGTTTCATATACTCAGACTTCTGGCGTTGAGATTAAAGTTAACTTGAACATTTACACCTCAGTGTTCTGTCAGGTGACAGTTTGTATTGTTGCATCAACTGCAGAGATGTCTCTTTGTGTTATTTTTCAGGCGGAATGATTCTTAACCCCTCCTACTTTGGCACCAAAGGACACAACAACACCATGATCCATGAGATGGGTCATATTTTGGGACTGTACCATGTGTTTAAGGGTGTGAGTGAACGCGAGTCATGTGATGACCCCTGTCAAGAGACCACCGCATCAATGGAGACGGGAGATCTGTGTGCTGATACAGCACCAACACCAAAGTCTAAAGTTTGTCATGACCCTGATCCAGTCAATGACACGTGTGGCCTTACCCAATACAAAAACACACCCTACAACAACTACATGAGTTACACAGGTAGTCATGATTAGTTTACTGCTTCTGTTTGCTCACCAAATACAACCAGTTTTACTTTAGAAATTATGTTATTTCCACTTATTGGTACAGGTTATACCTAAATGCTTGTAGTGTAAATCAGTATGATTGTTTTTTATGTTTTTGAAAGAATTCTTGAGTTCACCAAGGCTGCATTTTTGATCAAAAAGACAATGTGACATTGTAAAAAAAAAAAAAAGTTCTCGATTTTAATATGTTTATAATGTAATTTATTCCTGTAATGAGAGAACAGTAATATTCCTGTAATAAGAACAGCATTTATTTAAAACAGAAATCTCTTTACCTTTATTTACTGTCATTTTTGATCAGTTTAATGCATCCTTACTGAATAAAAGTAGCAATTTCTTTAATAGAAAAAAAGTCAGTGATTAATATATAGGCCATATACTGAATAAGTAGACTGCCTGATTACAAGTGTGAAAACACCTGTGATGCTAATTACACGACACACTTTAATTTAACAAATTAGTTTAACATATCCCTATGGTCAAATTATTTTCAATCTTTTGTTTCTAGGGTTTCTAGGGCTTTTCCAGTTTCAATAGTTTTTTTTTAAAATGCTTCTGTTGAACCACAATTCAAAAGCAGTGTCTGATTTTCATTAATATAATTTTCAGTATTTTTTTTTTATTATTATTTTGTCAGTTTCAAGTTATTTCAGTGACCATTGTGGGTTTTTCTTTCTTTAATGGAAGGGTACCTTTTTATTACAGATGATGACTGTACAAACCATTTTACACCCAATCAAGTAGCTCGGATGCACTGCTATATTGATTTGGTCTACAAAACCTGGGTCCATGGCAGAAAGCCCACCCCTGTTCCTCTTGCACCAGTGGTGATTGGTCAAGATGCAGATTCCATCACCATTCATTGGCTGAACCCAATCAGTGGGCCACTTGCCCACAGGTAAAGTAAGGAGCATACATTGGCTCGTTTCCACCGAGCAGTACGGATCAGTACAGTACAGTACGGTACGATTCGGGACCGAACACCTTGATCCAGCTGCTCTAGGGTCTAGGCGGATACATGAGCACTGAGCGCCCGGTGATCGCCTGGAGCTCCGAAATCAGCAAATAGGCACTATCTTTATAAATAAACCGCAGATTTGAGTTTTAAATAACTACATTCTCGCCTGAAAAACTCTTAAAACTACATGTCATGACACAGTAATAGTAATATTTTGAAAATTATGCGGGTTTTTGGGCAATGACGTTTCACAAGTCCACAAGAACGCATATTGAGAAATGGCTATTGACTGTGTGAAAATATAAAATTCTAAAATACACTGTTATATTTTTTAAAAAAGTATAAAAGATGGGTGTATAAGCCCAACACTCATGGACAGCAGAGCGGAACGAGTGAAGGACAATTGCCAACTCTCGCGAGACAAATAAGCAACCGCAGCTTCAAAAACAAGCCCAAAAAACCCAACATTTTTTTATGATTTATTATCATTAAAATTAATTATTATCAAGTATTTATTACCAATAAATGAGCCTGCAACATATTAAACCGAAACCACTCTTTTATCTGAAAAGCAAAAACAGAAGATTATTTTACAAAAATCAGCAAACTGCAACAAAAGTGGGAACAAAACTCATCTCCAATCACCTGTGAGCAGAATAGGATTGGAGATGGAAAAGGAGAAAAACACAAGAGCTTCAAAGGGGAGCTGTAACATAGCCACATATTCATAGCCTACTAAAATATAGGCTATTCGAACCTTGCTCTTAGTATTAGTATAGGACTACTTGTTTTTTATTACAGCACGTGATAACTAATAAATTACAAAAACATTGTAAAAATAAAAAATTAGGCTAAAAGAATGTCATCCCACTACTTCTATCATTGCTTGGATTACAGCGCCATGCGCCTTCTTTTTGAACGTGATTTTTCTCCAATGAGGGCGAGGAGGGGGCGGAACATTTGGCAAATTACGCTGCAGCACTTTGCACTGGTTACAATATTATTGCACTGGTTGGCTATTAACTGCGAGCAGACAGAGTGTCATTCAATGCATTGGAGAATACGGCGAACATAAATAAAGAAACAAAGTTGCTTGTCAGATTTCCCTAACAAGCAACCACATTTTTTAAAATAAGCCCAAAAAACCGCAACCCGCGACCCGGGATTTTTATCACGCAACTTTACAAAAAAAAGAAGCCCAAAGTCGCGTATAATATGCGGACTTGGTAACTCTGGTGAAGGAGAAGCTTTATCAAAGCCAATAGAAGGCAAGCCTGCAACCATTAGCTAAAAAAGCGTAACGGCTAATGCTAATGGAAAGGAGACCAGAGGCCATTTTTTTTTAATGGATGTCAATGGAGGAGATGTCACTATGCTGTATTATACGTGACTTTGGGCTTCTTTTTTTTGTAAAGTCGCGTGATAAAAATCCCGGGTCGCGGGTTGCGGTTTTTTGGGCTTATTTTACAACTGATTTTTATCCAATTTGGTTTACAAATCCATTTATACTTGGCCACACAAATTTATTTTTGTAAAACAGTTATTAACCATGCCATGTGAATACTAGATCTCATTTTCATGACTATGCTAACTAAAGTATGTTGATGTCCTAGTTATGTTACAAATGTGCCACTCTAACATGCATTTTTGCAGTGAAAAAAACTGCATTTTATTCACTAACCAACCAACCGCAATGCAGATTAACCGGGTGTTAAATGTTCTTAAATACCACAGCAGGGTATTTAAATTAAGTTATTTCATTCGATTACACGTGAACACAAAGAAACAGGTCTAACACTGACCGTGTCCATTGCTATCAAAATCAAAAACTCACACTCAGTAAAAGCAAATGAAATGATGTATTTTGAGCCCTCTACTTTTTGACACAGTATATCACTCTTTTTGTGCACATGTTAAAATGCTTTTTTTCTGTGGTTTTGTAGGGAAGGTGACATGAGCTGTCATCTCTGTGATGAGAATGGAGCGCTCCATCAGTATGCCCATGAGGCCACTTCTCCTCACGCCTGTGATTCCACTGGATACTGGACACCAGAGGAAGCAGTGGGTTAGTACTCAGTAAATCTTTATTATAACATTAGTCACACAACTTTACTTCATACTTGTGCAGGTGGAATGACACAAACCATAAAAAAGTCTCATTGCTGTTGGGCTGTATTGTTGGGCACTGTTGAAATCCTATTCGGTCAATCAAATTAGAGGACCAGGACTAACTGCTCTATTATAGTTTTTGTATCATGATCTAACAAAGCTCTTCCACACGCATATGTCATGAATTGTAAGATGGTGAGCGCATGACTGAATGCCGTCTCTGACATAAATGTTGTTGGACGTGTGCTTGATCCTCAACACACCACTGAAAATGTCACGAATGATCGTCAAAGTAAAAAACAATACCTGCTCTTTGATTAATGAGGATAGAGAGAATTTAGCCCTGGCTTCTTTCTCCGAACTTGTGCATTCACATTCAGGTGGATCGTTCAGTCTCATGCGGGCCAGGTGCGTGCAAGTCTGGAAAAATTTAAGGAATAAATCATTAAATCATAATTGCTTGGATAAAGAACACTCTTTTTGCCATCAATGAATAAAAAAGGCCCTTGGCAAAGCTTCAAGTTTTGGTAATATTGGGTTGCGTCCAGAAGCAGCCCATCATAAAAAGCGATGTTTATCCTGTGCAGCTTTTCAACTTTATACCTCACGTAACAGATGTTGCTGATTACTCTAATCAGAAATCTCTTAGCATCTGGTCTGCCCACTCACTGACGTGTCACGGATAAGACTGTGCTTTGAAAAGTCCACCCAAAATGTGGAAATCCTCCCCTGGTATGCAGTCGTTTTCATAAAGCACAGTATCATGAGAGAGGTCAAACATAAATTCATCCAGCTAGGTGGTAGTGGAGAGTGATTTTTGGCCCGGAGTCCTGTTTTGAGAAACAGATTGATGAGAAATTAAGTCTTAAATTTGAAAATAAAAATATATATCTCTAAGAAAACAATATCTTTGCAATATTAATGATGAATGAGATTTAATACCATCGGTTCAGGTCTGTAATAAATTACAGTAACCTATTGTTTTTGGTTTATTTTTAAAAACATGATAAAGTGCATGATGACTACCTAATGTGAATTATTTTGTCGGTCAGTTAATCATGTCAGAAAGACTTTAGGAGCAATATGACAACACTGTTTGTGCAGTATGAAATAATGCTCACGGTAATACCACGGTGAATCATTTGATAACTCTATTAACGCAGGCCAATTCGTTATCAAATCATATCTCAAATCTCACATCTTGTAGCGCTCGCCCCTGCTTACCTGTACCGTAGCCTCGGTATGTGCTATAAGGCAGCTTTTCGAGAAATAAGGCTCGAGCCAGGGCGAGCAGAGACCTGGTTAAGGTTGCTGAAAGTAGGAAGTATGACACGCTCACAGATCTTGCCGCATTGCTTCTCCCGGCGGGAACATTACACCACATCTGATACAGTCATTAATTCTACCCTGTGTGGAGGCCCTCGCTCTGTTTATCTGACCAATTGAGTTTTATGGTTTGCCTTGGCCTGCTGCTGTTTACCCTGTACACATCCACACATGTGAGGCCACGCTGGGTGCAAAGGAGCGCTCTGTGACTCAAGGCTGCTGTCTGTCTATCTGTCTCTTTCAACCTGGAGTACAGTTTAATTCGTCATTGTAAAATCTTTGGGGCAGAGAGTTCACATGGCTTGATATTAAGACTTGTGCTCTTTACATTAATGCACAATAGGATGAGTTCACTAAACAGTAGTGTCATTTTAACATGCATTATTTTGCCATAAAACGGTTTGATTTACAAATTAACCCCCTTTAGTTCAGTTTAACTAGGCTGTATTAATTTCCTTTCTATTTAAATGATAATTATTATAGATAATTTATAATTACAGGTTTATTAAGGGAAAACAGTACTTTTTCCCCTGGAGTAATTAACAACACACTGCTTTTGGCTGCAGAAAAGCAGGCTGAGATTTCTTTGCTACATACATCCAGTATAAACAAGCAAATCAGTATTCATAAGCTTATGTCCTGGCAGGTTTATATCCTTTTATATCTAAATATTATATATACTGACCATTTTACTACATTTTTCATTGTTCATAATGTCTAACTTTTATTTACCTTTATATATAAATGTGTTTATTTATAAAGAGCTGATTTACACCACTGTTTTAAAGTTTGGGATCAGATTGATTTTTTTAAAGGAAAATTATACTTTTATTCAGCAAGGGTGCATTAAATTGATCAAAAGTGACAATAAATACATCTATAATATTACAAAAGAATTGTATGTCAAATAAATTCTGTTCTTTTCATTAAAGGAATCCTGGAAAAAAAAAAACAATATTAAATTTTTTCAGCTTTGCCATTACAGAAATTGCATTTTTTTTTAAATATACTAAAATAAAAAACAAAGAAAACTGTGATTTTAAATTGTAATAATATATCACAATTTTACAGTTTTTTAAAATTGTATTATTGATTAAATAAATGCATCATTATCAACTCCAAACTTTTGAACTGTAGGATCGCAGTGGTGGAGCGAAGCTGAACAGTCCTATCAAAGTGTGCCAGATTGTAGTTGTAACGATTGCTACAGAGAGGAGCAAGGAACGTGGAGAGATGAGGAAAATGCGAAGCACAGTCTTTAATATCCAAGGAAAGGGGTAATACAAAGCAGGCAGGAGACACACGTAGCACATCAAGGTAGACGTATAACACCGGACAAGGGAACATAGGGCAGACAACACTTTAAATACAGGACTAAACTAGGTAATTAATGAGACACATCTGAACCAAATGAGACAATCACACATGGGAGAAACTGGGTCACGGGGAGCACGTGGGGAGAAAAACACACACAGACAGTCCATGGGCGTGACAGTAGTAGTCTGCTGCATCTTAACACTGAAATATAAACAACACAGGCGTTGATCGTGTGTGCAATTAAATGTTGCTATCACGAGAGTGCCGCCCCAGGGCTCTCCTGGGATTACCTTTCCCTGTCTCGCTCCTGTTCTTCAGGCCACCGCGGACGTTAACTCTTAGTTTAATAAATTATTTTGTGAGCCCTGTCTGTCCCAATTAAGGCGCCAATCTGTCTCCTTTGCCAAGTTGCACCTGGGTCTTATGGTCGATTGAGGTCTGGGGAGATGTGCTTCACATCCATTGCCAAGACATGTGGTTTTTCCCAGACACTCTCTCTTTCTGTTTTCCCTTTCACTCGGTTTCTCCCTCCTTGCCTCCCATCCTGTCTTTTTTCGAAAATTGTCATAACAAGATTGAAGATTCAAGAGATTAAATGGTTGTTTATAATAAACACACAGAATTGCTCAGTTCCCAAGTGAGCAGTCTGCAGAGGCAGCATTTTAAAGTGCGCTCCCAACGCAAATGCTGTTATAAAAAGGTTTGCAAATTAATTAAGCTGCTTTTATTTTAATTCTAATTTGAAAGAATTGCATGCATCCTTCACAAACAAGTTGCATTTTGATTAATGCAATTTACATTTAATTACATTGAATTCACTTGATTTTTTTACTTAATTTCTTAACTGACTTTTTAATGTATTCTATCTTTGTTAAAGGGGTCATATGATGTTGTTAAAAATAACATTATTTTGTGTATTTGGTGTAACGCAATGTGTTTATGTGGTTTAAGGTTGAAAAAACACATTATTTTCCACATACTGTACATTATTGTTGCTCCTCTATGCCCCGCCTTTCTGAAACGCGTCTATTTTTACAAAGCTCATCGTTCTGAAAAGCGAGGTGTACGCTGATTGGCCAGCTATCCAGTGCCTTGTGATTGGCCGAATACCTCAAATGTGTGATGGAAATGTTACGCCCCTTACCATACTGTGATGCTGTGTCCCGGCGCGAGGAGACAAGAACAATAAAACCCCCATTACAAACGAGGCATTTGTTGCATCCAGTGGGGACATAATTACTGATTATAATGACTTATACTGTATTTGTGATTGGAGAAATGACAAACAACAAGCGCTACTCTACACTGCTCAAAACTCACGTTTGAATTGTCAGTGGCAAATTCTTTAAATATGAAAACATACTTACAGGCTGTGAGTCAGAACAGATGGCATTGTAGGCTACTCTCCCAGGTTTAGGAAGCAGTCCTCCGTAAAATGCGTTGCACACATCTGAATATTTGGTTTGAACTGTTCTTGAACAGTGTTATAAATACAACTTAATACAACACTGATTTCTAGTTGTGTCCTCTTTTGGAAGGCCAAGCAAAGTAGTTTCGCTTTCACAACGAAGCACACATCGTTTCCACGACATGGCGGCGTCGGCAACAATACTACAGCGAGAATCAAAGTTACACCTTCTTTCTTTGCGTAAACATTTGTGCGGTGTTATGCAAATCTTCCCACTCAGTGACGTAGACATGTGGGGACTTGTTTAAACGAGGCGTTTTAGGAGGGCATGGACGAGTCTTAACTTTTATAAATAATATCTCTTTGGGTTTGAGACTTTAGTCTTTGCAACTTTAGGGATCTTATTTATGCCCGAATAGCTTGTAACACTCCAAAGAGAAAGGAAAACTGGGAATTGCATCATATGACCCCTTTAATGCTTATTGGTCTACCTAATTTTTAGCTTAGTAACATGCTAACATCCATACAGAAAAAAAAATGCTTCCTTAGAAAAATGTAGCTGCCTTTGTAAGCAATGAGGCAGCTCACAGAGATAATAAGTGCACTTATAAGTGCAGTGTACAAAGCAGCCCACTATTTTGTCAAGTTTTCTAATGCATTGCTATGGAAATGCCTATTTTAGGGCTTATATGCCAATTTTATTGCAATTAATTATCTCATCCTTCCAGGTGTATGTCACATTTGCCAAAAAGATTCTTAACTTTTGATGGCAAGTTACAGTATTTTCTTTTTGGCTTTGGATGAGGTTTACGTGTGTTTTTGCAGGGGCCCCTGATGTGTACCAGCCATGTGAGCCCAGCATGCAAGCCTGGAGTCCTGAAGTTAACCTGTATGAGCCCAACATGACTACGCCATGCCCCCAGATCGAGGGCTGTGTGTTGGAATTGCACTTCCTTCACCCGGTTGTCCCTGACAGTTTGACCGTATGGATCACTTACACCTCAGCCAGTGAGTATACTGTCTATCAGTAGGTGTATATCAAACACCTGTCATTATGGGAATATACACTATACTGTTCAGAAGTGTAGGATCAGTAAGATTGTTCTTTTTTTAGTTTTGTAAAGAAATTAATACTTTTATTAAGCAAGGGCACATTAAATTGATCAAAAGTAAGAAAGACTTTTACATTGTTATTAATGTTTCCGGTAATGTTTTTGAAATTTCTAATCACAGTTTCTACAAAAATATCAAGCACCGCAACTGTTTTCATCATTTATTATGGTAATGAATGTTTCTTGAGCACCATATAAGCATATTAATATGATTTCCGAAGGATCATGTGACACTGAAAACTGGAGTAATGCTTCTGACAATTCAGCTTGGCCATGACAGGAATAAATAGGATTTTAAAATATATTTAAAATAATTTAATTGTGATAATAGTTCACAACATTACCATTTTTTCTGTATTTTTGATCAAATAAATGCAGCCTTAGTGAACATAACAGACTTCAAACACATTAAAAAATCTTACCAACCCCAAACTTATGAACAATAGTGTATAAATGTTTTATATGAATTCATTCTTCTGTTTTTTTTTCCACAGATCAAAAGGCAATTGCTAATATTGTGCTCATAACTGAGAATGGCGAGATGTTCCACACAGGTCCTCAGCATGCTTTCTGTGACATTCCTTTGACCCTCCATTTACATACTAGTAAGAAGGTCAAGACCGTTAAAATCTCCACCTTTGATAAGAAGCTGGAGATCGATGCTGTTTTGCTGACCTCGCGGCCCCAAAATCCTCTCTGCTCTGGCTGCCGCCCCCTTCTCTACAGAGTGCTTAGAGAACCACCAATCAGAGAGGACCAGAGTCCCGTCATCGTCAAACAGCCCACATACACTGACAGGTAAGAATATGCGTCTTTGTAAGATTCACAATAGCACTTCGTTTTGTATGCAGACACTTTGAAAGACTATATTTTTAAATATTTATTTGAAATTGGCGAGTCATTAGTAATACTGTCAAGCATTTTCAAATAATAATGTCTCTGTCATCTTTTTATTGTGTTTCTAGTTGATTCACAGCATTTCTGGGAGTATTATATTAAGTGTGGCTTTAGTATAAATGCTGAACATGTTGTCTTTCTAAAACTGTCATCGAATTGTATCTTCGGCGTATCACTATTTAAGTATTGTGCAATGGTTTTTGCCTGAAAAAATTGTTTCCACAGCCAACAGAATAAGAAGAATAACAATATCATGGATTTGACATTGTCATTTCATTAGCCATTAATTTTACAAGTATCAACGCATAGCCAATTTTTGTTCAGTTCCTGTCACATTTTATTCTGCTTGTTCCAGTACAAATTCATCAACGGGCACTGGGTTGTTGTTCAAGTACTTGCAATAGGTCAAAATGTCCAGAGATTAATAGTGTGGATCAGAGAATGTAACATATCCAAAAAAGTTCCTTCCACAAGTCCTGTAAGCTCAGAAAGATGGAAACTCTACTGGGAATAGAGCTATGTGGATAGGGAAAGGAAAGAAAGACAGATTGGATCTGCGAGAGAGGTAGAGAGAGAGAGAGAGAGAGAGAGAGAGAGAGAGAGAGGTACAATGAAACCCTGGAATATAAACCAAATGTGAACGCTTTACCCGTAGAAACAGTAAACACCCGTGGCTGTTTGTAGCTGCTCTGAAATTGTTTCCAATCTCTCGCTGAAGGGAGTAGTGTGCTTGATGTAGTTAGTGTGCAGTAAGTGAGAGACCTGTCATTTGGCATGCAGGGAGACAAAAGTGTGACAACGAGTACGTCGGAAAAAGGGAGTGGGAATGAAGATGGTTTTGTGGGAAAGTAGGCTACAGTGCCACCGTGAGGTCTGCAGCAAAAACAAAGCACTTTCCATGTAATGGGTAAGGAAACAGCCAGTGAAAGGAGGTGCTTAACCTTCAGAAAATGTTGATCATTAACCTTGAGAGGACCCATACTAAATATTATATGAGCTGTTTTATTTTTTTTTTGCATTTTATATGAGGTTTGCAGATTTTTCCAACATTTAGCGGGCAGTAATATTAAATCCCAATTTTGTATGATATTTGATTTTGTTTTATTCTAGAAAAAAATAAAAAATAATTTTTTTTTTAATAATTATTATTAATAATAATAATTAATAGATCAAAATATTGTTTTATTGTTTCGAAAGTTTGTGGTCAGTTTTTGAAAAGTCTGTTATGCTCACTAAGACTGCATTTATTTGATCAAAATATAGTAAAAACAGTATCTTAGTGAAATATTATTATTTGAAATTTTAATTCAAAGTAACTGTTTTAGTTTAATGTATTTAATTGATTTCTGATGATTAGAAACTTTGAAAAGAACAACATAAATACATAAATAAAAAAATACATACATACATACATACACACACACACACGCACACACACACACACACACACACACACACACACACAT